CACAATCACAATGCCAAAAATTTTTTCGTTTTAAGAACTGGTAAAACAGTTCTAAAATTTATCTAAAACAACGGTTTCTCCACTCCTGCTGCCATGAAAATCATCTGAGGCACTATAAAGTATATTAATGCCCAGGCCACGCCCCCAGAGACCCTCATTTAATAGGTCTGCAGCGGGGCTCAGGCCCAGCTAGTTCTGATGCGTAGCAACGGTGCAGAACCACACATTTGAAAGAGTAACTTACAACAATGGTGAAGAAAACACCAGACTCCTGGAAAGGAATGAAGGGCAACTCATGCCATCACGTATTAAATTCATTTTACAGCTAGGACAAGATCAACGGAGCAAAAAAGAGAGACCAGAATGAGACCCAAACCCCACATATACGAAAACTGAATTAAGTCTATACGAAAAATGGCATCTCACATCAATGGGGAAAAATACAGACGACCATTACCAAATAAATAGTACTGGGCAACTATAATTTGGGAAAACATAGAACTGGATCTCTAGATCTCACTCCCTGTAAGAGCCAAAATATATTCTGGGTTAAAAATCTAAGATACAAGGGCGAGAAAAATCTGGAGTCTATGTCATAATTTTGAAATAGGGAAAGCATTTCTAAACATGACATAAAACCCAAAAGCCATGAAGAAAAAAACAGATAAATTTGTTGCTATAAAAACTGAAAACATCCATTGTTAACAACACAGAACTATCACACCGCAAGCATATGTGGCCATATCACTGGTGAAACAAATTTTGGCAAATATAAAAGGGGAAAAAAACTTGGATACATTTATTAAGAGGCTTATATTTTTAATATACAAACAGTTCTTACAAACAAATAAGAAAAAAGGGCAACAATTCGACAAAAAATGGACAATGGTTATAAGCTAAAAATTGGCAGACAACAAATGCCAATTTATGAAAAAAGATTCATAACAAAGAAATGCAAAATAAACCAGTGAGGTTTTTTATGCAACAAAATGGCAAATAATAAAAAATGATAATATCCAGTACTGGCGAGATTTGGGGGACAGGAATTCATTTACTGTTAGTGAAGGTGTAATCTGCACAATATTTCTGGAGAATATGTGGCAATATCTGTGTTAGGGTCGCTATATAAGTAGAAATCAACTCAATGGCAACAGGTCTGGGTGTTTTTTTTTGTGCTTATTAAAAATGTCAATATCCTTTAATCTAGAAATTCCACTTCCAAGAATTTATCCACCAGATATATTCACTCAGCTATACAAAGATGTATGTACAAGTATGTTCAGTCCAAAACTGCTGCAATCGTAAAACACTGGTAACAACCTAAATGTCCAGCCAATAGGCATTAGTCCTATAAATCAAGATATACCCAAATCAGGAAGACTACTGTGGCTGAGAGCTATATGCAACATGGAACAATTTCCAACCTACATTGTTCAGTGTGCGTGTGTGTGTGGCGGGGAGATGATACATATAGATATATATATAAATATATATATATATTTTTTTCTCACAGATGTGTACATTATACTCTTTATGTTTAGAGAAGATATCTACATACACCCCTCTATATGCACAGACCATCTCTGGCAGAACAGATAAGAAATAGCAGTTGCCTTTGGTGAGAGAATTTGGGAGAAGCAAAGGTCAAGAATTAAGGGAGATGAACTTTTCAGTTCTTGCCCTTGATGCTGTTTATTTGTTGTTAAACTATGTGCATGATTACTTTCTAGAAACAAAACAAAAAACATTTAACACAGTCTGACCCAGCAGTCTTGCTTTTCATAAATCTATTCCACGATGCTTGTAGATTTGCCTCCACAGGGATATATATCCACTGCCACATTGTTTGTACTAGTGAAAAAGCAGAAACAATCCAAATGTTCGTCATTGGGGGACTAGATAAACAAATTATGGTGCATGACTTAACGGAATACTTTGCTATCAGTAGAAAAAACGAGAAAAATCTGTATGTGCTGACATGGAGAGGCACCTAAGACATACTGGGAATTAAGTGAACCAGCCAGGGGCTCACGTCCTTTGGTTCCATTTTCTATTAAAAAAGTGTATTAATAAATACTATCTGGAGAGAGGTGGTTATCCGTAAGGAGTGCTGGGGTGAGCTGCTCTTTTTTAAAATTATTTTACAGGGAATACATATCTCCTTTGTAGTAATTTTTTTTAACGTTTTTATTTTGGTGAAAATATAAATACCAAAGGTACACCATGCCAACAATTCCTCCATGGACAACTCTGACACTGGCGGAAGACTGTGGAAAAGGATACCAAGAATAGCAGCACAACTTACAGTGATAGTTTTCAAAATAAAATTATCTTTTAAAAAGTTTCTTTCCCTGTGTGCATGTGAAGATCTTATCTGGCTGTGCTACAGTTACGTTACAGAGAAGGCGTGGCTGAATACAAACTTGCCTCTTGCTCTGACTGTCTGTGCATCACTATTTGTCTTGTGTCCCACCCAAAGGGTATGACATGTCTCTCAAAAGTTCCAGCCCCCAGTCCATTTTCCTCTCTGGGACACCTACAGGAAACGGAGCTGACTGCCGCCGCAGCACTCACGTGGCTCACTTTCCAAACAGTGAACGCTCACAAAGTGTTTGTCTCGAAGAGCTCATACTGCACAAATGAAAGAATTCAAGGATGACAGGAAAAATCTGGGCAGACAGCAGACTGTGAAATGACACAGACGTAATCGGCACAATCCGGACGGCACGCAACTCCCCAGGACAACAAGCACACAACCACCACCAAACTACCAGTTTCTTCAACAAATAAACTGTAAGGATCCTACAGACTAGTAGATCCTCAAGAGATGCATCAGCCAAATGAAATATGGATTATTAAGGTTTCGAGTAAAATCTGTAAAAACAAATTATGACATATGAGCCAACTGGAAATTTGAATGTTTAGTGGACCTTTGACAGTGTGAAGAAATTGTTAGTTTATTTATATGTGATAATGGTATTGTGTTTAGGTTTACAGAGTCTATCTTTTAGAGATACATTTACACTAGCAGCTCTCAAAGTGTGGTCCAGGGGCCCAGGCCTTTGCGGGGAGGGGCGGCGATGGCACAAAATCACAGTCATTTTCATAAACTACTAAGACCTTCTCTGCCCTGTTCAGTTTCGTTCTCTCCTAAGTACACAGTGGGATTTCCAGAGGCTTCATTACATGTGCTGAAGACTGTTTTCATATCTAATACAGTACATATTAATAGATATAATCCACATTTTTAAAACTCTCTTTTCAGTCCTATTTTTTAAAATTACTCAGTGATCCCTAGACCAAAAAGTTTGAGAACCACTGCATATGTCTTATTTTTCTATATGACCTGAATTCTCCCAAATAAAAAGGTTTTCTAACTAGGTAGTATGAAGTGGAGAGGTGAGGATATTAAGAAGGCAAAAACATCATCTACGCAGGAACCACGAATCCATCAGAAAACCCTTCTCAACCCCAGACCCTAAAAGGTGCGGGCACACACAGACCCCTCTTTAAATACCAGCTACAACTAACGTTTCAAAAGAGATAAATGCTGTTTTAATGCTGGGAATTAGTTACCTTTATTAAGTTAAAAAAAAACCCTCTCCTCACCTCAGACAGTCACAGGGAGGGCTTCGTAGCCCATCACCAGACGCTCTAGCCCACCTTGTATGGAACCTGTGTTCTACCCTTACTCCCCCCTTCCCTCATTTGGTACTAATCATGCCCAAAGAACAGCCCGAATTGTTCTTCTGTTCTGGGATCTGCTGTACCAAACACGGCCTGAAGTAGGTGCGCCAGCGGCTGCCGTCCAGACACCTTCTGTTGCAGAGTCTGCAGTGTTGGTTGCTGCACCAGGACCCAGCCTGCCTCTCCTGCTCGCTCTTCTCCCCCGCCAGCTTTCACCTTTCTCCGCTGTCTGCTCTCCAGCTCGGCCTTGACCTTTCCTCCCCGCCAAAGTTCATCTCCCACTCTACATACCAGCTGTGGGGCTCCTGGCTGCCAACCACAGCCCAGACGTTCCCCAAGCAAGGACTCACACCCACCTGGAGGCGCCTGAAAACCCAGGTAGCGGGCCTCACCCCCAGAGCTTCTGATTCAGCAGGTCTGGGGTGAGGCCTGAGAATGTGCATTTCTAACCCGTTTCCAGGTGATGCTGATGCTGCTGGCCCGGGGACCCTACTCTGAGAACCACCACGTTAGGGTTTCCTCAGGGACCCAGGGCCCAGGCTTCCCCCGGCTCTGCCACCTCTTAGTCCTGTAACTGTGGCAAGGAGTTGAGCTAAGATGCTCAGAACACAGCCTCTTCATCAGTAAAATGGAGGCCACAGTGACAAATACCTCACTGGGTAGCTGTAAAAGCAAACAGCCTATATACAACTAGGAGCCCCTGGGTCGTGCAAACGGCTAATGCGCTCAGCTCCTAACTCAAAGGTCGGAGGTTCAAGCCCACCCAGAAGCACCTCGGAAGAAAGGCCTGGCAATCTACTTCCCAAAGATCATCCACTGAAAACCCCATGGACCACAGTTCTACTCTGACACACATGGGGTCAGCACGAGTCGAAGTGGACTCAACAGCAACTGGTACTGTTATATACAAGTAAGGACTTCGTCAGCTGGGCACAGCAGAGGTCACGCATCCCTTACAGGGTTCACTGATGCCACGAGAAGCTGATGCCCAAGAGAAGCGAGCTCCTACGTCTACACATCCATCTTCCTCACAGTTGAAAAATGGCAATCGGTCCAAACACGTTCCCTACACCTTCAACTACCTAACCCGCAGGCCACCCTACTAGTAGCTTCCTCGAGAACTCTCATTCTGAAGACATGGGGCAGAGACCTTGACCCGGGACAGAAGGGATCCGGACAACAGATCCGTCCCTTCCGAGTTGAGTGACGTCTGGATAGCCCGCCTGGAGGAACAGACCACGTGGTCCCATTTAAGGCATTACCTGCTTCTGGGAAAAGGCTAGGGAGGAAGCATCAAGCACGGAGCCACTCACCTTACTCATGCCTCCAGCCTGTGCCGTGCTCAGTCCTGCATGACTGGCCATTTGGGGTGACACCTGAGTTAGTGTCTCAGCCAGCACGCTGCCCGAGGCCCCCTGCATGGCCGGGGCGGGGTACGGCATTCCGGCTCCCCTTCCTCTGCCCGCAGTCCCGAGAGATCCGTTCATGACTTGCGCCTGCCCTTGCTGGGCCTGATTCATGAGACCGTGGCCAGAGTTACTATTGAGGAGGCCTTGGTGGGTCTGGTTGAAGTTCGCATTCATGCAGATCCCAGGTCCAGTCTGCGATGTGGCAGGACTGCTGGTCACCAGTCCCACTTGTTTTTGTGCTTGTGGGTTCAGTGCTTGGGAGGCAGGGGGGGTGGGCCCGGAGGTGCTGGCGGCCTGTTTGGGTAGGCTGGGGGCGGAAGAGTCTCCCTGGTTCAGAGGGCTCTTGCCCATGGCACCCAGGCTGGCCATGCTGGCACTGTTGGGCTGCCCCTGGGCCTGGCCCCCGAGGCCCTGCTGCACGGGGCTGCTGGCGCCCACATTCCCTATTCCTGGGTTGATGCTAGAGCTGCTGCCTCCTCGCAGAAGCTCCGACAGCTGTTTATGTTTGGAAGCAGCATCTTGAACAAGGTTCCCACTGTTTAAAAGGCCTAATTCTCCTCCATTGGGGATCAGCTCATCGGGAAGATCATTTTCCAAGTCAAACAATGATCCAAAATCTAGAAATCAAACAGAAATGGAAAATGAGAATTGAAGCAACCATAACAGCTCTCCAACCGTTGTACGTTATCATGATCCTAAACAACAGGGCCTTCAACCCAGAACACTAGCACGTCTTAAGTGTGATGTCAAAATCCTCTGAAAGTTCACTTGGGAAAATGAAACCAAGAAGAACAGTTTTCAAATCCTGAGAAAGAACGAGTTAAGCAGAGCCGAGGACGGCAAGCCCTGCTGGACTTCATCAGGTTTCATCTGAAACGCTAACTGAACAGTGTGCTGTGAGAACAAAGGCAGACACACACATGCAAGGAAAACAACGGGAAGTCCAGAACTTCACAAGATCATAACGCCGGATGCCTTTAAGAACACACATACGTGTCTAAAAAAGAACTGGGCTTTGGGTTCAATGAGTAGCTATCTGGGGAAATTAAAGTAAAGCCTAACCTTAAATGATTACATAAACATGTAATTATTTTTTTAAAAAACCTAGCCTTAACATAAAATGAGATCAGTGATGTCTCAAGGTATTGAAGCTACAGAAGTAACTTTAAAAAAAGACATATACAGAAACTAAAGATAGCTGAAAATAGGAGTTAGAAACACGGGTGTCATATTAAGAAGGTCAGCGTCACCCCCACAGGACGAGGAAAAGCATACTGGCTCCAGAGTACAAAGGACACAAGCAGAGAATTATCACAGAGGAAGATAAAATAGTAAACAAAACAGATCCTCCTCCCTCACAAACAAAACAGGTGAAAATCAAAGCACCCCCTTTGTTCCAGTCCCTCTCAAAGTGACATTCTTCCAGAGGGGTGTCTCTATGTCATCTCTACTCCCTCACCTCCCATGCACTCTTCAAATCCCACCAACCAGGCTGGGCACGTGTGCACAGGACAGATATGTAGAAATATGTTCATCATAGTATTATCTGTAACACACACACACACAAAAGTGCAACACAACACTCTCCAGAGGCAGCTTAGCACAACAGTTACAGACTCTACAATCATACTGCCTGCATTTGAACCCCAGTTCTGCCTCCAGCTCCCCATTTTCAGCTGTGGGGCCTCGGGCAAATTACTGAACTGCTCTGTGCCTCAGTTTCCTCTACAGCTCACACAGTCGCTGTGAAGATTAAATGAATTAAAAGCTGTAAAGCACTTAGAATAGTGCCTATACACAGTGAATGTTAAGTTTTAGCTATTACCATCATTACTGTTGTCCAGTAACAGTAAGGCTTAATCAACTGCCTTGCAATATTACAAAATCTTATACATCTACCAAAATAATTGCTATGTAAAAATGAAGAAAAATGTTTTATGCTATGTAAAAACATATGCAAATAAAAATGCATGCAAAATGGCACACAGAATAAGATTAGAATTAAAAATATGTGCAGTGGACAATGGCTGGAAAGGAACATGCAAGAAACAAAAATAGTTGTTCCAGTTAAGCAATGGGGGTAATGGGTGCATGAGGCTATTTTTTTTAATTATCATAGCCTCTCCTCTCCCCCCAAACCACCTGCCTTTAGAAAATGAAAACTATTTTCCCTCAAGGTGGCAAACCCTAATGACTGCTTAGCCAACAAGCCCTCCCCTTCTCTGCTGGGGAAACTGCATGGTTCCAAGACAGCAGACAGGTGGCTCCTCCAAAAAGGGTACTGCCTTCCCCAGCAGCAGGATAAGCTGACCTTCGCAGTCACTTGCAAGTGACACATCCCAGCTAAGGGATCCGAAGGTGAGTCCACTAAGACAGCCCTAATAAGGGATGCTCAGAAAGAAACACTCCTTTTTTCATTAGATTTCATCATGGAATGATGGCGCCTATCTTGCAACGTAGAGAGGAGACAATGCTCACGTGTTAAGGGCGCGCCAAACAACAGAGGCACACGGATCCGCGAAGACATCTGAGCTGCTCTCCGAGCTGCTGAATTACGTGACCCTGGAACCTCACTACTTTCAGACTTCTTGTTCTTTGAGATGATACATGTCCTACTGTTTAAGCCACTTTAGCTGGAGTTTATCATAACTTGCAGTCAGAAGTATCTTTGTCTATGGAAGACGTTCACATGCCTTAGTGCGGCATCTGAGGCCACCCAGAATGCAGCCCCTACTTCTCAGCAGGGCTTCCAACGGTTCCTTCTAGCTTGAACCCCTGCTGAGAATTTGTATTTCTAACAAAAAGTTCCCAGGCAACACCAATGTTGTTGCTTAAGGACCAATTTGAGAACCGTAACAGAGCCGTGGTTCTCAAAATTTATTATACACAATAATCACCTGGGGATCTTGTTAAGCTGTAGATTCTGATTCAGTATATCTTCGGTGGAAATGCAAATTCTCAGCAGGGGTTCCAAGTGGAACGAACCAGTTCGAAGTCCTGCTTCTCAGCCCTCTCTCACCCACCTTCCAGCCCTAACACAGTGAGCCAGCGCTCTCTCCTCGTCCAGAAAACTCACTCCCAACCTCCACGCAGATCAGACAGTCTCAGAGAGTTACGAAGACCTTCTGAGGCTACCCCTGCAGAACAAACCCGTCCCTCTTCTGAGCCCCCAAAGTTCTCCGTACATACACGCCTAGCAAAACGCCTCCAATCCACATCTGTTTCTTCCTACTAGACTATAAGGGATTAGATATTATTTGCCAACTACACAAACACACTTTTAGTTTTTGAGACTAACTGGCAGACAGTCTCATCCTTTCCTCCTAAGCACTTCAGTTTGTATCACCTAAGAATGTCCTTTTACACGATCACAGTACATTTATCAAGTTCAGGAAATTAAACATTGACATGATACTTAACATACTGCCCTTACTCAAACTTTGCCAGTTGTCCCAATACTGTCCTTTTTTTTCCTTTCCCCAGATGCAAGATCCAATTCAGGATTTAGTTATGCCATTTAGCTGTCGGGTCTTTTTAGTCTGCTTTAACCTAGGACAGGTCCTCAGACTTCTTTGCCTTTCTTAACTCTGACATTTTTGAAGAGGGCAGGCCAGCTGTTCTGTAGAATGCCCCTCAACGTGGGACTGCTTCCTCAGGATTATGGGACGGGGCCTTTGAGAGATGTGAACTTGACTCTTGTGTTGTCCTGAATCCGGAGGTTCACCAAGGTCTCCAGACACAAAGATCACATGCAATAAAGTAAAAAGAAAACAAATCCGAAACCCTCTCCAACATAACTAAGCTTTGAGCTTGTTGCCTTTCAGGCCTGTCCACAGGCACATAGACGCTTGCTCAGTGCTCTTTAAACATCAGGAGCCCTGGTGGTGCAGTGGTTACAGCGCTTGGCAGCCACTTTGAGGGAGAAAGACAGCAGTCTGCTCCCACGCGCGCGAGAACAAAACCGCGTCTAAAGCAGGAGGCAGCGCCATGATGGCAGGCTGGCTTCCCTGCCTGCCTGCCCGGGTGGGTGGGAGACCCTGGCAGCGCTGTACACCACAGAGCTTCTATTTACAATCAGAACAACCCGCAGACCTCCCTGACTGAGTCTTCCAGCGTCCCTGAGCCCTTTTCCTGAGTGATGGCCGGGCCCAAACAGCAGGCAAACCCCAAAGAGCAGCAAGGTAACCTGCAGGGTCAGCGCCAGGCCCCCAGTTCAGCACAGAACAAGGGGAAAGAAAACTCTGAAACCCACACAGGGGCGGAAACCCTAACTTTGCCAATTAGCCATGCATCCTGGGCTAAGTGCTTCATTTCTGCACCTTAATCCCTTCATCTGTAAAGCAAGGGTAACAATACCCAGGGTGACGTGATAAAAAGGTGAACTGGAGCCCTTTGGGGCCCTGGTGGCGTGATGGTTAAGCACTCAGCTGCTAACCAAAGGTCTGCAGATCAAATCCACCAGCTGCTCCTTGTAAACCCTGTGGGGCAGTTCTACTCTGTCTTGTAAGGTCACTATGAATCAGAATCAACTCGACAGCAACAGGTTTTTTTTTTGTTTGCACAGCCCTTTGGGCCAGATACTGGGTATTTCATTTTATTTAGCACAAAAAAAAAATTTTATTCTAAAATGTTTTTAACTTTAAAATTTCACCCAGCATCTTGCCACTCCCAAATTTACTGGTTTTCATTTATGTTTTATCCTGGTTCTTGTCCAAATGTACACATAATTTTTATCATTATAAGCAGAGCATTCTGTCTTAGGCTCATTTGGGTTTTTGTTTGGTCTGCCACGTTTTGTCCACCTTGACCACGTATTCTCATCCTATTCAGTCCAAACATACCTCATAGCTGGCTGGCTGACTAACTCTACTAATGTCCCCACCTGCCAGGCAAAACATATATGAGCTGTGCACACCCAAACACACAGGGTGTGGTTTTTTCAAAAGGCAAGTAGGTTGGGTGGGGTTTGTGGAAGACACCTACAGACCCGTACTTCCCACCAGGGACTGTCACTGCTTTACTCTTCTAGTTAAAACATCGACAGAGGGGAGTGAAGAAGCAGGCCAGGATATTGCAACACAACCCAGCTGTGCTTTCTACACACCGAAGTGTCCCAACGCAAGGAGGGTTGAGCAACAGCAATCTGAACCATCCAAAGTGCCTAAGACGAAAGACAGAGAGTTATCATTCCAATCCAGGTAACTCCTCTTCTCTCTGCTAATGCTACCTCAAAGGCATTCTCGCCATCCTTCTAGTGGTAAAGCACATGAGCTCAAACAAACAAGTAAACAAATAAATAACGGAAGCCAAGGTCAAAGCCAAAGAATGAGCTGCAGAGGCTGACTTGGCCCTTGTGCTCACAGGCACCCTGTTTTCAGGGGCTTCATCCTCAGCAGGAGACTTCCCCATCTCCTGCAACCACTGCTGTTACAAGTCCACGGCTAGGGTCATGAATTTCCTCTCCTTTGGGGCTTCCTGGCAACCAACCCTGAGACCACCCCATCCACTGAAGCTGATCGGAGAGAAAACAGAGCTCAGAGCGCTCAAGTCTCTATCACACACACAGAAGGCTGGGGACTCAGCAAGGAGCTTAGGGAGGGAGAACGTCACAGCAAAA